GTGGAGTGAATATCACAAATTGTTAATTATGACGCGTTACTTAATATGGTATGTTATATAACCTCAGGGACGGATTTAAGGCACTGCAAACTATGTTGCCGCATAGAGCGGCAAATTTTTGGAAGGCGACTTTTTATACGCAGCAAAATTGTATTTATTATTTATTTTATTCTTGTATAGAAAATACTTAATTTTTTTATTGAATTTTTCAATTAAAAAAATAAAATAATTAACATTAAAATTACTTATATAATTAAATAATTATATTTAATATATTTATTATTATTATTTTTTTTTTTTTGTGTGTGTAATAAAAATAAAGAGAAAATATTTTATTTGAATTAAAACGTTTTTATTGAACTTTAGTCAACTTAAAAAATAATTGCATACATAGAAATTGTTACAATGCAAGAAAATTTTGTTGTACAGTCGTGATTTTTTTTAAATAAGGGTGGCAAATTTTTTTGGCATAGGGGCTGCAAATTGTTAAATCTGTCCCTATATAACCTAACTGACAATCGGTAATATATTGAACTAATAAATGCCAAAATAATAATTTTAGTGATTATTACTATTTCTGCTGACTCCTGCAGGTACTTTAATAAACAAATTACATATATGTTCTAAAATTAATTAAATAGCTTACTCGAAAAAAATATGATAATCGATCATTTTAAAACCTCTGACTCTTTTATTTAGTAGCCTCTATAGCCTATTTATATAAATTATAAATAATAACATGATTTGTTACTTTTAATGAAGATACATTTCTGTATACTGTATTAATACACCTAATACAAAATACACGAAAATAAAAAATTTTATACATTTTTAAGAATTTATATGACATTAAAATTCTAAAATAAGAAATATATGTTTAGTAGATACATAATTATATTATCGTAGTAATAAATTATCTGTATTTATTATTGTTTATAGACGAATCAGAAAACTATGCATTTTATCATTTATCCATGAATTAAAAAACAAAATTTGATACTAACATAAATTATAGTAAATAATAATGCCTACAACTTCCAAAAGCTATTTTATAATAAATTGTGTTTTATAAATAAAAATTGTAGTTTTAAAAAAATAATAAAAAAATAGCTTGGATAAAATGCGTTTTATACAATTTTGTATTTATGAAAACTAAGTGTATTATATAATTGCATAACTTATATTTTGTATTCATAATTGAATGTTTTACATTATACTATTAGGTAAATTATTATTTATACAGGTAATATAAATATAATTATTAGTAGTTATTGATTTAATTGATTATGTAGGTAGTATTTTTTCAGCTTTATAGAATGATTAATGTCGACTTCGACGAAACTAAAATACCACAAATAAATGGTAAAAATGAAATACCTGTATTATAATCTTATACTTTATGTACTTACCTACCTTTACTATTATAAAGAAACATATCTATAATACATGTCAACTCTAACAATACTTTATAAATTAGTCCTAAGATAATTCAATTAATTAGATTATACCAATATATACAACTACCTGGCGGCATGCATGCAATGCCACCCTTCTTTTAAAGAGTTGGTGTAGGATTGTTATATTACATTTTACTTAAATACCGGAACAAACAAATATAAATTACCAGTGGCATCATAAAGAATTGGTTTTGGGATGGGATATAAGCTTATATAATATCGTTATAGTGGAGGGCTATTCCCCCACACTCTTCTTTGTTCATTAAATTTCATAGGTCACAATATTATATAAATTTATTATTATATCAAATTTAGTAAATCAGTACCTTTTTAAATCTAATTGATCAATGATTGATAATTTTTGTTTAGAATAAACACTTAACAATTGGTAAAAGTTTACGACACAATATCCATGATACAACTTTTACGAATGATCACAAAAAATCTAAAACACAGTCATACTAATTTAATAAAATATATTATAAAAATTAACAATTAATAAATACTATATTATAATAACCTGCTTAGTATTTTTCCATTCATCTTAAGCCCTAACAGCAAGTTGAACTAATGACTGATTATTTACACCGTCAAACTTTGAAAAACTGTGCAAAATTTACAAAAAGCACCAGTATTTAACTCAAAATATGTTACCTATTCAAATTTAGTTAGCCATTTGTATTGAAATGTTAAGCGTTAGGCGCTGTTTTTTTTTGTTTTTATCAGTTATTGGAAATTTTTAATTTCCTTATTAATAAATAATTATTCTTATTTCTTAAAATGAAATATTAAAATCTTAAAACCATTTAAATCCAAGAGCTTACGGGAATTTAATTATGATAATTAAAAAAAAAAGCTCTGAAGGGATATACCTCCCCCCTGTAATTGCGCCACTGTAAATTACTTGAGTATAATTTCTTGTATTTTTTATAAATTGTACTTACCTAATAATTAGAACATTAATTTCATAGTCTTACATGTTTTTTATTGCTTGATAAAAATTATGAAATACCAAATACTTAATAATTTTTCAAAATTTTATAAACAAAAGCGAACATGCTGATAACTTGTGTAACACATTTACACATATCTAAATTAATTAGCATGGCAGAAAAAAAACATTAAGGACAATTACAAAAATAATTATGAACTTGTTTCATACATATAATAAATAGATTTTTTTATAATTTAGTTGTATTGAATTTTTTTTAAACTAGACTCAAGAACTAACAAATACCTACTAGGTAATAAATTTGATAGGTAAATAGCATGTTTAAAAAATATTTGCCACCATTAATTAATCTACCCATGAGATAGGAATTTACGAACCTTGGTATTCCCCTAAAATATAAATACAAGTACCTATGTTAACATGGTATCTATCAAATTTTCCTAATTTATTCCTATATTGGCTATACCTATTAACTACTTACGTGTAATATTTAAATTATCGCTACGATGTGAATGATATTTTATTACGGACAAAAGTGAAATGTTTATTGTATAAGACAGTGCCACAGTGGTAAACTCTCTCAATTATGTATGGATAACACTCCCGATTTTTAAAATATTTAGTAAATTCTCCTGAGTCAAAATTACTATATTTACCTGAAATACCTACTGCATTGTATAATTATAATTTATCAAAAATAAATTAAAAGTTCAAAGTTGTAATTTACTGCAATTTATAAACTTGAATGTTTTTAAATTTATTTATTAATTTTATTTTAAACATTAAATTATTACAATACAATTATAATATAATAGACAAGTTGTTAAAGATTCGAGAGATGTATACTCTTAAGGTAGTACTCAATAAAATAGACTGGCGAGAGTTAATATATACCTTTCAGGTAAACAAATAGTATTGAAGTTGATTCGGAAGAGTTTACATGTCATTAAAATTTGAAGAGTTTACAATCGTCCATTTTATAATTTTATTATATAGAGTATGCGCAAACATTATTTTACAATTTACATGTTAATATATATTGAAAATAACATGGAAATTGAACAATAAACATCTCACAATTCACCAATCCCTAGGCTCCTAATGCTCCTATCCCATTTATTTCTAAGTTCAGGGCAAGTGGGTATTACTGTACTATACCTTAATCCCTTATGTTCTACGTTCACTACACACCATTTCTACTTTAATTGATTAAAATCTTATAGCCATTTAAATACATATAAATAAGGTAGATAGTAGTTTGACGTTATTATAGTTGCATAAACTCACTTTTTATATTGTGCATTCAGTGAAAAAATGTTGTACTCGTACTTTGTAGACATATACTCATCTACTAGGTAGGTACCTAATATTTAAAATAATAAGTAAAGATATCTACTTATGTAAATGCATTCTGTTAAACAATAAATAAATGTCTCAATAAATTGTATACAACTATTAATAGTTTAGGTATTTACTTATGCAGTTTTACAACTAATTAATATCATTGACTTTATATTTTCATTAAAATCTAAATTATTACCACAATTCACGGCACTATTCTACGTGAATTTAAGAATTTGTAATTACCTAAACATAGTTCCTAAATAATACAGAATATAATAGCCATCAAGTAGAAAAACTAAATTATACACGATTCCCCATATTTATCTATGCCAAAATTACTGTATTAGTTTTTATAATTTAATTCATAAGTATACTTGACAAGTACGTTACGAATGTTTTTTAATAATTATCTACCTAATTAATGACTAGCGAATTTGCAATCAGGTTAAGATAATAAGAATGTATATAACAATATTGTATTTTATGAGGATATATTCTCAAAACATACATTACTTTTAAAATGATGAAAATACAATTTGTGATTGGTCATAGGTACGCTAGTTTTACTCTTATTCTTACTGTTCTAATTATAATATTTTGATGAAATATCATAATTACAAAAAAATAATTTTGATTAATCAGAATAAATGAACATTATATTAAATATATACCTAATATACAAAACTAGGACGTTTAAAAAAAAAATTAAAATCTTAATTTTAATCATATAACGCTATCTATCCGCATTTATAAATCAAATTATCAAAAGGTAACAATTTAATCATTGATACCAGCTGTGCACAAACTAATCAATGAATTTGATTCTAGTAAATAAAGAAAGTAGTAACGCCAGAAAAACAAAACGATGCTTGATAAATTTATGAATAACATTTAAATCCACGATTAATATGATTGTTAAACAATTTACATAATGTTGTTATTTTATTATAACAACGAAATAATATATTGTATGACGACAATGAATAATAATGAATTTGATTAATTTTTGTTTGGGTTGTCCAACTTGATGATACCCGCGTGATAACGAGACCACGACCGCGGTATAAATAATAATAATAATAGGTAATCGTATTATTATCTATTCTTCTGTTGCCAATCTTATTTATCGCCATGGCCATTTTGTAATCACTCTAATCACTACATTATTTTCATTGAACATAGAACTGTTTTCAGATTTTAGTGTTCTTACTGTCATAAAAAATAAAATAATAAAATAGTGGACCTACTATTTTTATGGCCCGCGCAACTAATCACCATTCACCAATCACGACCTATTCACGTCAAGTTGTCGGCGGTCGTGGGCCTGCTCGCTACAGCGCTGACGGTGTATAACGCGCGAGTCTATTCCGTTCGAGGGGGGAAAGAATATATAGTTTAAACTAAATGGATGAAAAAAGGACGGTGGCGGTATCGCGATAGAACACACAAACGCACAGTGCGGTTTCCTTTTCCATCGCGCTCGTACGCGAACACCCAACGGCTGCGACTTTGTGTCTCCTCGTCGCTCTCTCCTGCGCCGCCGCCGCGTCCCATTTCGTAAAAAGATTACCAACTCGGTTGAAACGTCAGCGCTGAGGCCAACCGCAGCGCTGCTGTTGCTTGTCTCCCGTCGAGTCCGCTCTCGCTCGGCGTTTTACCTGTATTTACTATGTTTTTTCTTTATTAGTTTATTAGTTATTGCCAGTTTACCACTATTGGCTCTCTAATAATATCATTATTATTGTTATCATTACCATCTACTTGAATCTTTTTTTTTTTTTTTTTACCCCGTTACGTCGACGTTCAAACGGCGCGTCCTTTTGTGTTCGTAAATCGTGTTTATTCCGAGTTCCGATGGCGCACGTCAACATCTATACTACGTTTGGCGACGACGACGACAATTAATTCGTTCACGGCGTGGTGGTGCTATTCGACGTCGATTATCCGATATCGGTTCGACAACGCCCGGCCGCGATCCCCGATCTTCACACAATTTTTCCTCCCCGGAACGTGAGACGGACACGATAGGCACTATACACTTGTTATACTTACCACCCCGCACAACAACAATTATGTTCAGCAATAAACATTTTTGATATCTGGTCTCCGTGGTGCTCGCTTGCAACTCGGACGGCCGTAAGTCCTTCTTTTCGTCGTTTTGAAAATTTTATTTAATTTCAATTTTTGTTCGTCTTTGATTTTTAACTAGTTAGTATCATAAGTACGTGTGCAAATATTACTCATACTCTTAGGTTTTTTTTTTTTTTTTTACTCTTTACAAATTCAACTAAAACATTAACAACACAAGTGTCAATATTTAAAAATCAAAAATGGGCAACCACAACAGTTTTAATTTAAATCACAAGGAACAGTTGCACTCTGCCAGGATTAATTCGCTCAACAAGGACCCAACACTCGGCATGTTACCAATGGAGAAACTTGGAAAGGTATTCTATTTATTTTATTATTATTATTCTCATACCTGTTGTTTAAGAATAATAGTATGTAGTTTGTTTGATACGATGTAACTCATTCAATTTTTCTAACATTTCAATTAGTAAGTGAATTAATTATTTATATTTTATTCAATAAATCAGTTACAACTTAATTCCTAATTTACTTTTGAACCTATTAGTCTCTCATAATTAAACATTACTTAAGTAGGTAGTCATTGTCATTTTACTTTTAACTTAAATTCAATCACTAACAATATTAAGTTATACAAGAGCATTAGTTATTATTTTTTAGGAATTAGTCATAATTTTAGGCATGTACTTACCTACTTATTTAAATTAAAATTAGTCAATAGGTACTTTTGTGTTGGTAAACTAAAATTTTATCTATCATATTATTTTTAAGTTGGAAGATATATAACTAAAATTTTAATTAAGTCATCAGCTATAATTGAAATGTATAACTCTTTTATGCCTGCATTTTTTTTAATTGTGAGTAACCCGTTATGATTTTGTACACCATGTTATGTAGGCGCTATGCAAATATTTTGTATTTTTGTGATTAGATGAATTTAAAGATATTAAAAATCATACCCATCATCTATGTATTGCTAGATGTGTTATTGGCCTTCTAGGTATGAAGCCCAAAGATTAAAGTATCTATACATAATAGAATGCATAATAAACCATTTTGTTTAACTTAAGTTATTCTAATTTATCAGTAGGTAAATACAAAAGTATCTCCTTATTCAAATTTATAAATTAGGCTTATATATGTAAATATTATCTCTAAAATTACTTCAAAAGCTTTGCATCCAAATATAATCTAACTGATTTTATTTTAATTTTAAAATTCAAAATAATCCAAACCCAAATGAAATGGCTTACTCAGATAATTACTTTAAATTTTCAATTAATAAATTTTTTACCTGTGTTTTTTTTTTTTTTATATAATTCAATTTTTTAGTTAGTTTTTAATTGTAGATAATTATTATTTACGGGTATAAAATGTTTTAGTGGAAATAATATCTATAAATAAGAATTTGATAACGATCATAATTATTATGATAATAAATATAACATAAAAATATTTTATGAGTTGAAATAATAATCTATAAAATATTTTATAAATTAAATAAGTACATAGTTTTAAAATCAAAACTTCCTAGACTACTTAAAACCAGTAGTAACCCTTATAGTTACTCAATAAGTAAATTAGACAATTTGTTAACATGTATCATTTTTTATATAATTTATAATGAATTACAATGTATATCTAATATCCAAAGTTTTTATTTTAATGAACTTCTGACCAATAAACATTTTTATTTGATGATTCGGAGTGCAGATATTTATACTTTGGCTTAAACTATTTTTATATGTTGCTACCTATTTATAGTTTTTAATAAAATATTGCGATTTTTTAATTAATTAATTTAAAAGAAACAGAACAATATATTACAAATAGTTATGGCATGTTTTATTATTTTTTATAATTCAGTAGGTAACATAGTTTTTATACCTTTAATATCATTATAACCCATTATAACCATTTATTTCATATATTTTTGTTTTTACAACTTGAGAAATATTCCTACTCCACCTATTATGAAATTTTAGGTAGGTACTTGAATGTTATCATTTTATGAAGTTGATAGTTATTATTTAATTAGTGTTTTCTAAATTAATATTTAAATTATGTTTTTATGTTTTGTCCTTTTATTTGCTACCTACCTTTTTAATATTATACATTTTGATTATTAAATCCCTAAGAAAAATTTAAAATAATATTTTAAATGATCAAGGTTATATGTAAATAATAGTCTGATATTAGATATAATATACTGCTGGATATGTATTAAACTAATATCTTATACACATGTAGATAGATAATAAGTTTTAACTATACTGATTTTACTTGTCTCACAATTTCAGTCATATACAAGTTATGAAATACAATCTAGAATAGAAACATAATAATATGTCAATACCTGAATATGAAAAATGTAATTAAATATTTATAATTTATAAAACAATATTTCTAATAAACGTTCACTTGCTATGTATTTTATATTTTGAGACTTCTTAAGTTATTACATTATTACAAAAATCTCGACAAAAATATTGTAATTATTTTTAATGTGAATTTAGGTTAATGTTATATTCTTATATTTTCTTTATAAACTATTAAGACATTTGTCTGATTATTCCATACTTATAAATTGTAAATTTATCCTGTGTAAAAGATATTTTAATTTATTAGAGTGTTAAATAATAATTCTTTATTACTGATTTATCTTTAATGTTTCAGTTATTGATTCAAAAGAGTTTAGAAGAAGATTCAATTAATGGAATTGGCTGTGGTGTATTTAAGGTTAGTTAAGTTAAATGTATTTGATTTTTTTTTTATACACGCAATAATAAAATAAAAATTTGATAATTATTAATATAATTCATGTCATAATTATTTTCACAACTATAAATATAATTATTACTCAAAGATATATTTAATTTTAATTTTGTATGTTTAAATATTTTTTTAAGCGATACTTGTTTCCACAATATCCTGAAATGGCTCGTAAACTTTTTGCATATCTGGTAACTTCATCTGGTGGTCCTGCTTCTTCCCATGTAATTAGTTATTCAAACTTTAAGACCCAAACTGAACGTTTGCTGAGTGTTTTGGCTGATGACCGCCAAGTATTGATGTACGTCACGGTGAGCGAGTCTTAATAATTTTATATTTGCAATTGGTAGATATTAACCAAATTTGATCCATCCCACTGAAATAATAAAATTATAGCACGTAATAAGCCTTAAACAAAACAATTTAATTTAATTGTTGAAATATAACAATCAGAGTTTATGTTTCTATTACAATATTAACTTAAATTTTAAATTTTAACACAAGTTAATAATTAATAACATTAATATAAAAAAAAGAAAAAAGTGGTTTAATTAATAAATTATAAATATAAAATGAATAAGCAATTTACAATCATATTTTATTAAGCAATTCATAATATTAGTATTTTAGATTTTATTAATATATACTTTGTATATTTTAATTACTTATACATTGTTTTAAATATATAATACAATGGTAGATTTAAATTGAATTTAACATTTATAAATATGATAATCTATTTATTTAATACTTATACATATTTTCTAATTTAATTTTTGTGATTTTGAAAAAAAAAAATAATGTTTTTATTTATTTTAAAGTATTTATAACATCCCATTTTTGATCCGTTTACAGTTTATAAGTCTATTAAAAGTTACTTTAATTTTAGTTCCTAGTGTCATCTTAATAACTAGAATACTTAGTCAAATATGGTTTACGAAACAGATATTCTAATTTGCAATTTGTATTTGTGCCAATATAAGATAAAACTGTGTTTAGCCTTTAGTTTTTATTTATTTTAAATTATCAGCTGTCATTTAAATTATCTAATTCTTATTTGTGAACATTAGGGTTTCATAAAAATACTAATCAATGATATAATTTCTAGACAAAGATGTAATTTTAAATAAATATCAATTATATTCATTTTAAAATGTCTTGATTTTTTACTTAAATATTTAGAGTTACTTGCAAATAGAAAGTAGGTACTGTTAATAGATAATTGCCCTTGCCAATTTTAAATCTATTAGTTTTAACCTCTTTATACTTTGTTCAGTTTGTCGATGATAAACGATAATGAATGATTCATTACTATCAATACCACAAAATTTTTTTATTATCGAACTCTAGTAAACTGATAATTCCAACTATCGTAGTATATTGGATTTATTTTTTGTTATTATCACGTTATTATTGAATGATTTATTTCTATAGTATTTTTGCTGACAAATTAATTATATGTGTAGTACCTTTAATAAATAATAAATAAGCTCATAGGCTTTTATTTTAATTTTATAAAGTATTTTCAGAAAATATTAATATGTTTTATAGTTATGAAAATATATACCGATGTATTTATAAACATCTTATTAAATTTAGTGATTTTATTTATAATTAAATATGTTGCTTTTTATACATTAAAATATAACTATTATTAAATGGATATCAGACCTAAATTGGTTAAAAATATTTATTATATAATATAATTATAAAATTTAATATAAATATTTCAATGTCTTAGTGAAGATACTAAGAGACATACAATTATAAAATTAGTTTTTATTTAAATTATATCAATAAAACATTTTTTAACACCTTTATCTATTCAATTAAAAAGATGTCAATAACTCAGCATATTATTTGTTTTCTCTCTAAACCACGTGCTAAATAATAAACTTGTATTCAGCTAAACCAATTTAATATTGTTAGCTTTATAATGAATTAACTTATTATTAAACTTAAAAAAATTAACTATGTTTATGCATTGGCTTTTTAACGATATTTCAATGGAAGATGTAAACATTTTTTAAATTGTAATATTTTACTACCCATAATTTTTATATAAATGTAAACAATGTAATCAAATCAATGTTAAGACATATATAATGTTATTAACTTCAAGTTTGATGATAAGTCATCTTAATACAAAAGCTAACAGCACAAGGTTAGTTCTGCTGAATATAAATTTGATCATTTTTTTCACATTGTTGAGAGGAAAATAAAATAGTGTGCGCTGAAATTTTCTTTTTACAGTTTGTCTTATAACTAAAAATTTTGTGATTCAGAATTAAATTTATTTGATATATCATAAAGTATTGTAATATATATATATAATAGATAATAGTCTTATATTCATAACTTACACTGCCACAGTTATGTACAATACACACAATATATTGTGGCGTGTTACCAATTTTTATTAGCTGATAAATGTATATAAATTTTAAATTACTTATAAAAATATTTTGGACTTTAGTCTTAAATTATATAAGATTAACTATGGAATGTTTATTGTTTAATAGTATATAGAGGTCCTATGTTCTGATTAAGAAACTATAATCAATCATTATATAATTGTTAAGTTAGCTAATTACTTTATAGCTTATATAGTCAATGCATATAAATTTATTCATTCAATAAATATTTTGATAGTAAAATTTTTTGTTTATATTATCTAATAATTAGTTGAAAATGTGTTTGTTTTCATAACTATGAAAAATAGTGTGAATAACTATGCTATTGATATTAAAAGAGGAATAATATCTATATAGTTTCTAACACAAGATAATCTTTCAAGAGTGAAGGTTTTTTCATTTTTTGCAAATTAAAAATTATACAGTAGGTATATGATAAATATTTTTTGTAAATTGATATACAATCTTATGTGTAAACAATATTTGTGGTTTTAAAAAAAGGTAATTCAATAATATATCTTAGTCATAATAAAATAATTCTTGCATACATTTTTTTCTTTTCAAATTTAATCATTTTTTTAAATTAAAAAAAATATATATATAATTCATAGAAATATTTACTAGAATATCTCTTTATTTTATTTAAAATATATCAATATAGTTTTCTTTTATATTGTTAATTCTTATTATATATTTTTAACTCAATTTATAGTTAATAAGTTATAGATTATATTAATATGCAAGTATAGTATAATTATATATCAATTAACCAAATTATTGAATTTAAATGGCTTTAAATATTATTTATTTTCATAATGATTAGGCAATTCAATGAAAATATAAATATGAATTCATAATAATAAATAATAACTGAATATATATTTTTGAGTATTTCTTTATGATTATATGATAATATTCTTAAGATTTTATATTAAGTAAACCAATAACACATTATTAAATGTGAATACTTTATTTTTTATCATAAACGTTTACAGATCCTATTAACAAGGGAGGCAATATTGCAATAGATTGGGGTTTCAAAAGTGTGAGCCTCTACTGAATTTTTTTTTTTTGCAACTATTTTAACCTTGAAGTAAAACAATGCTTTTTTAAATTAATTCTCACACAAAATCATGTATGTGATTATATTACTATTTGTGATTTATACGATTATAGAGTATGTGTTAATTACACAACATCGTGGTTTGTGGATAAACTGACATGATATTATTCATACTTAACACTTAAGTAATTCTAAACAAGATCTATAAAGTGATGGCAATTAACAAGAATTGTTTTTAATATAAATTCCATAAAAAATAATTTAAATTTAAATTTTATAATCTATAGTAAAAAGAATATTTAGTGATACTGATTTTTCCTTCTAGATGAGGTTATACATAGGTATTTCAGTCGTTTTATCTTAATATAATTTATTTTCTGAAGTCAATGGTAACAAATTGTGATACTTTTCATTAAAACTATAGAATTAAAAATATATATTATGGTATGTTAGTATAGTTTTAATTAATAATTAAATAGTTTGTTAGTGTGAATAATATAGAATAACTAGGCATACACTATTGTCCTTGAATTTTAAACATGTATGAAACGTTAATAATGATGAAGTTATGAGTAATAGCTGTCCAGTTACATCTGTGATTACTGATTAGACTCAGTACCGTAATATTAAAGTTGTAACTAATTTACGCATATAAATATGTGTTAAAGTATATGTAAATATTTATTATGTTAATAATTTGATGAATATTTCTTTATCTATGGCATGAGTAAAAAATCGTAAGCTTTTATTTTAATTTTTTTATAATAACTTTTAATATTAAAACAAACAATTTTTAACTTAATAAATCAGTTAAGTTTTTTAGGGTGCTTTGGAATGGAGTTCAATTGAAATATTTTCATTTCAGTATAATATAACACATTATATACATATTTAATTTAAAATTAGACTATTTAGCAAAAATAAGTCATATTTGTTATTTTTGTAGTACTCTTCATTTTTTTTTTTTCAAACTGAAAATCATAATTATTGTATAAATTAATTTTGAAAGTATAATAATATTACTTTCAAATTTATATGGTTTTAATTCTTTTATAACTTTCTCAATCTACAAAGAATATTCTTTTATTTACTATTACCGATTGTTAGATGTATGCTGATGGAAAAGAAGAAATTGATCAAGAACAATTTCGAGATCTACTCATAGCTGTTTATAAACTTGCAATGGATCATTATCCTGAAGGACCTCAGTCGTGTCGTTATATATTTAAGACTATTCAAGCCGTTGTTGATTCTGCAGTGAGTTTATTTGTTTAATTTAATTGTATACATGTTAATTTAAGTTAATTTTTAGTTTCATAAAAAATTAACACTAAAAGTGGGTTACTTGACCAACTGGATACTTCAACATTGCCCACGATTAATTGTCTTACTCCATCGATATATTGTTCATATCTTGTCCACTGGTTACAGATCAGTTATTGAAAATAGTCCATATTCCAAACCAAATGTAAGTATATATTCATTTATAAATAACTATAATTGATTTTTTATGAAGGGAAAACAATTTAATAATTTTGAATATGATTGTATTTTGTTATTACCTCATTAGGAAAACGAACCTAATGTGAGTAAACTTTACTGAATTGTTTGTGATTTAATTAAGTATTAATTGTTTCTATTTTATTACAGGATCTCGAATTAACAACTCCAGTTTTGGAACAAGAAAACTTGTTCACAGCCGAAAAGAATCCATTATTGCCATTGTCTCAAGTGTGGATATTATCTACAACATTACCACCATTATATACTCAACCAATTTTGCATTCCAAACCAACACCAAATTGTTTCAACACTCAAAACTTCTTATCAAAATTTGTAAGTTTTTAGTTTACATTTTAACTTTTTTTCATGGGGGACTATTTTCTTGACTCAAAATTAATAATACAATAACAAGTGCATTCTCTGAGATTTTTTATCCTTTTTTAAATATATATTTTTTCTAACATAAAGTTTTAATAAAACATAAAAGAATATTAATAGTAATAAATTATTTTATTACTAGGATGAACATAATATTAAATTTAACCATTACTTTGCTCTGCCACAATTCACATCTACTGTACATTCATATTCAGTATTTAAAATTTTCCTAATAACTTAAATTCTTTTTGTTTACTTTAAACATTTGAATTTCATTTTTTGTTTAATAAAATTATCATTCAATCAATATTATACTATTTACTAATTCAAGTTAAATTTATCAATTAATATTTATATAATTTAATATTGATGTTTATTTTAAACCAGTTTTAATAACTGTTAAATAATAAAGAAACTAATTCAATTATTTTGCTTTCATTACTAATTTGACTATTCTGTTGATTTCATTTACATTTTAGATATAACTCACAAAGAATATTGTATCAGATTAAATTTATTTGTTCAATCTTTGTTTAATAATATTTTAAATGACAAGACATTTAGTGTACTTGCATATTTATGACCATAACAATTTTTTTAAATGGTTAATTAATTTTTATATATATTAGGGTAGGTAGTACATTATCTTTTGTTCAATTTTAAAGTAATTCTCAATAAAATTTATTTTTCAAATTAATTATATTCTCCTTTTTTTTAAATATTTGTGAGTGAAAGATAAATGTTATAATTTTTGAATTTTCAAATATTATTCTTTAATTCTTATATAATAATTTAACATATTTGCTATTTGTTTAATGATTATATACCTATATTATTTAAAAAGAAAAATATAATTTCAAAAAAACTTTGACACTTTAATTAATTTTATTTAATGATAAAGTTTTTTGTCCATCTCATTTAGATTTTGTGCGGAGTAAATGAGTGATGAATGAAATGGTGTTACAAAGATCTGTTTTTTATTTTTAATTTTAATTACTTTCATGTTAGTCGTCATTTTTTGAAACATTATAAATTTTTCAAACTTCAAGGGTGGTTACTGATAGTAAATTGAAAGTAGTTAGTACTTTATTCATAAGGGGGGGGGAGTCAAAAGTTAATCTATTCCTGGTACTTTACAAATTAATTGGGTTAAACAAAAAAAAAACTATGGACAATTAAAACACATACACATCACGAGATTCCCGCAAAATTAATTGTTGTACCTCAGTCAAATATTAATTACTGGTTACTTAAATTTTTTACCTTAATATTTTGGTTTTTTGAGCTATTTATAGATATTTAAAATTGTCTTCTTTTTTTAATTTTTCGATTTATGTTGATAACAATTTTTTTTTTACCATAAAATTTGATAAAAATTCTTCTTAAATTATAAGTATTGTTGTCATAAATGTTGACTAAGTCAAAACTACGTAAATGTGCAAATTATTTTTTAGTTAAAAATTCATATTTTTTTATTGTAATTGTTAAGGATTAAAATTTAATTCAAAGATCTTCACAAGTTTTTTCTAACGAAAATTTACAAATATTATACATAACTTTTTTGATAACATAATTATATATTATTCATTATATATATGTATATATATATATATATATTTTAATGGCAACTAAAGCCATTAGCTGTGGATAGGAACAGTAGGTTTTTTGTTTATAAAGTATGTTTTAGTAGGTTTAGAACACGTGTGTATGTGTGCGGCACTGCGGCATGCGTTATGGATTTGTCACTAAAAACTCGGATGGTAACCCATCCGAGAGCTAGCCACACTGGCCGATGCTTGACCTCAGAACACATTAGTGACTGAGGCCAACTCCACCGCGCCACATCAGGCCACAATAATCAATATATATATATATTTATTTTCATCGTTATTATTATTATATAGTATTATCTACAGTTTTCTAAAAAATTATTTATCCTAAATAGAAATAATTGATAAATAACTCAAGTTTGAACACACAATGTGTAAGAAAATATACTGAGAACACAAACTGGTGTAACAATGTTCGCTTAGAAAATCAAAACAAAAATAAATGATTATTATTATCTTTGTACATTAAAAATATTTCATTCGTAATAAGTAATAACTAATAAATAATATATGAATTAACTTCTCTATTTCAACATGATAACTGTTTATTTCAATTTTATTTTTATCATGCACGATTTTGATTTTTTTTTTTTTTTTTTGATTACCTACTATAATGTCTATTATTGATTCTGAAAATAATTCATAGATAGTAGGGGTACTATAATACGCTTAAAAATTAGGTTTTAATATTTCGTATTATATTTTTGAAATATACAACTTTGTTATTTTTGAAAAAAATACAAATTCGCATTTGGCAGAATTAATTTTGTATTAGTTTAAAATACTAGACTATTAGAGTGAATTTTCGTGGACTTATTATAAAGTTATAAGTAAGAAAATTATCTGTGTTAATTAGTTTGTTTTTTTGTATTTTTTAATGTTTTAACAAATTATTATCTTCTTTATATTGTAAAATGTTACGTTACTTTAAGATATTTCAATAGAAAAAAAAATAGGAAAATATATTTTACACACTCCTCGTTACTTAAAAAAATCAAATATCGTAAAAAACTAACGAATAAATACAAATATTATTCTTGCTTTTAAGCTTATAATTGATGATTTAATCTAATATTAAAGCTATAAAAAAAAAAAAAAATTTTAACAATTCAAAATTGGTTCTACTAGACTCCAAATTGTTGTATAATATTTTGTTTGTTAAATAAAAATGAAGTTATATTCGAATTGTCGTCTACTCAACGTTGTTTATAAATTATAATATTATATTAATATAGTATCTACTGTTTCCAAAACTTTCAATTTTTTCAATTAATCCCTGAATAATATGAATCAAAGATCGTTAGATTAGTTTCATGAACTATTTATTAATCCTACTTCGTAATAATACTCAAATATTCTGAGATATTTACTCTAGGACTTAAGTCATAGATAATCATTTTTTTAAATTATACGTATTTATATCAATAAATAAAAAAACAACCGTAAATAATTATTTTAAATTTTTTTATATGTTCTTCAAATAAAGAAACGTAATACAAGCCAGTTATAAATGTGACCATGATACTATTGAGCCGTTAAGGTCAATGTCGATTGTCCTTGATAAGTAAATGTATTAAAACTATACATAAATTATATCATCATTTTCAATTTATTTAATAAATTATGTAGTGTCAATAGCTGAATAATATATAGATAGAATAAAGACATATTACATTTAGGAAGTAGCCAGTATAGATAAACAAAAATTACATATTACACAACTAAATTAAATTATTACAGTTACTTAATGTTAATGATTATTATAATCTATACTCTATATTATACTTTTTAATATAAACTATTTTTTAGAAAATAACATACATTTATAAGGCGACGTTAAATATTGATTAGTTTTTGTTACTTTAAGTTTTGAATAACAATGTTACGATAATATACCAGCCAGTTTTTAGTTGAAAATTGTCATATATTTCATTATCGTCGATTATTTTAATCTTAAACAAAACATAGCTTTTGTTTATATTTTTGAATATTTATGAATACCTATGCGATTGAGAAACTTTATTTTACTAAAAATGTTTATCAAATTTTATACCTTCATACTATAATATTAACAACACATAATATTACTATCCTACACCAATGTTCATACAAAATGTAAAATACATGGTCTTTATCTTCTTGAATGTTTTACGTATATTTTAATTGAGTTATAAAAATTGAAACAATATAGTTTCATAGAAATGTTTAACCTACATTTTTTTTATATTCCATGTTTATAAAATCTCATAATATAGGTATTAAATTAATTTAATATACAAATTAATAAAATAATTTTCTATTTGATTATTTTCAAGTTTGAAATTCGAAATTTATTTTAGTACTTATGCATTAATGCCATTAATGGTATAGTAACTATAATTTCGTTGGAAGAGTTGTACCTAAATACTTTGCACCGATATTTTAATTTATAAATAAATAAATTTTTCAAAACACGCACGTGCGTACAAAATAACATAATTTGGTTATAACTATTTTTAAATCGTACATATCTACCTAATGTAAATTCTATTTATTTCTAAGCTAATGGGTATTTTTACTTTATATTTTTCATAATTATTATTACAATATCATTTTTAATATCAAATAATATCAAAAGTGAAAATTTAATAAATTAGGTAAAGAAAATAATATGGTTAAACAATTATATTGGCTTGCCAGTTAAATGTACGTATTATTATTATGAAATAAATAATATTTGGTACTGTTTTAATCGATGCAATGGTGCTGATGATAGAAGCGTGAAGTGGAGGAACATCGTAGTTTTATAAACAAACAAAAGAACAAAATAACAAATAGGTATTTTACCCAATGTAGGTCATTCATTTATTCTATTGTGTTAGGAATTACTACGAAGTAGGTATATACTATATAGGTACACTGTATGCCGTACATACATGAATCAGCATATTTACCTATTTCAAGGCGACTTCAATAATTTATATATGATAAACATGTATTAATTGAAAAATGTTTCGTGAGTAGATTACAATTTGAAAGATACCTTATATACTTGTTTACATTTAACTCCGATTTCATCATGCACTAGACAATATTATATCATAGTAGACAAAAATAATTTTTCTGATAATGAATAACATTCAATACTAAATTATAACACGTCTCTTGAATGTATTTGTAATAATTGTACAGAATAGTTCAAGATCAAATAGTCCTAATTGAGTGTGGAAAAAACAAAAGTAAATTTAAAACGGTCAATGAATAATTGTTTAATGTGTGTGTGTGTGTGTGTTTTTAATTGTCATTGCAGAAATATAAAATGTGAGTTGTAGCTAATAGGTATGGAACTGTAAAAAAGACATAAATTAAACGAGAATTAATAAACTATGTATAGGATCACCGCACAAAGTATTTAATGTCATTCTTCATTAACAATTTAACTAATAAAAAATAAGAATAACAAATTAAATCAAGTATGTGTAGTTAATAGCTAGGCAGTAGGCAATAATGGGTAATTGTTATTAAATTGGTAATAGAAAACGAGCTGAAAGCATCCGAGCTTTTATGTTTTATATTTCTATTACAGTTGGACTTTTCTTGTCCATCACATTGGACACTATTGTACAACAGCAATCAACACGGTATCGGAAGTAATAGGTAATTATTTCCAAGTAATTAACTATTATGAATACTTAATTCCTGTTTTGAAATTTATATGATTTTCTATTATGCTTAACATACAACGTTAAAAAAAACGTTTGTTTGCAGCTCTTAAAAAATAATTTAGAAGTATAATCTTGTTTTTTTTTCTTCTTTTTTCTATAGATTTTTACACCATGTACTGAGTTATCGAGGGCCAACATTAACGTTTTTGCGGGGTGATGAAGGGGTCTTATTTTGCATGGGAGGTACATCTGAATGGCGGGAGTCACACCAATACTGGGGTGGAGACGACAACATAATTTTACAATTATTACCCCATTATAAAGTAATCAATCGTAAGTATCACAATAACTTAAAAGTTAAAATTATTTTTATTACTAGCCAATTTTATTAAAGGTGGTCCAAAATCTATGTATTTAAACACATCTATACGTGGATATCCAAAGGGTATTAGAGCCGGTAACGACCCAAGAAAACCATCAATTGAAGTTGATGACTCATTTCAACATGTTACTCACTGTGGCATACCGTACAAGTTAGAAAGTGTTGAAGTATGGGGTTGTGGTTCACCAAAAAATAGGTATTTATTTATATATATAATAATTTTTGTACTTGTTAATATATTTTTTTTTATTATATTTTTTAATTTTATGATTAGTGACTATAAATTTCATGAATATAAAATTAAATACACATTCACTTACACTAGTTATAATGTTTATTTTATATTATAGAGAAGTACAATTGGATATAAAGAACTGGCAAATTAAAGAGGCTGAGAAGAACCGAAAACTAAAGATGACATCTAAGGAATGGTTAGATCACCCTGATAGATACTTATTAGAATTGGCTGGACGTCAGACATATTCAACATCATAAACCAGTTTTCATCACAATATTCTTTTCAGTCCTCACATAATGTTGTTTTTGTATGTGTACATAGATATTTTTTTAACTATATTTCAACTCGTGCTTTAATTTCTCGACGTACTTACGGTTACAAGAGTATTATTTTATCAGTATTAACCGGATACCAGATAAAGTTTACTATAAATTATAGAAATTGACCATAGTTTTCAAAATAGAAATACTAAAACAAATATTACAAATGCATTGAATTATTAGAAGTTTTAAAAGAGGAAACCCATAGATTATCTATATATATATATATTTTTATATTTTAACAGTTTAATAAATAAATAGTCCATAATAGATAAATAAAAAAAATTGTTTTGTGCACTGGTTCTGTTTGTGGTTGAATTAAATACAGAAATCTTCAGTACTACACTTCAACCCATCCCTATCAACTAAAATAATTAATCTAATAAAATGTGAGATTTATACATATCTGTTATTTAAAATGCAATTTTTTTTTAAGTAACTGTTACAACGTTAAAATTAAAATTTTAACAAAATACAACAGAATTTATTTTTTATTTTATTTTTTTTTGTCAAGTGATAAACCTGTGATACATCTTAAAGCTCATTTGATGATCGTGTAAGCAATTTTTATTAAATTATTGACGAATTTAATATCAAGTCTGAGGGATTTTTAATCTCAAAAATGTATTTGAAGAGCCATAAAATGATTTTTTAATCTGTTGTGAATTATTCTTTTTTTTTTTTTGTGTGTGTGTGTATTAAATTATTACAAAAAAAGTACTCTTCGATTTATATTATTTTGAGGTGTTTAACAAAAATTCTGATGTGTCTTTGTATCTAAAATAGAGCTATATTTTTAAAATGATAAAAAATCGTAACTTATTATTTTAAAATTCTTTTTACTTATAATAATTTAGTCATTTATCATAGCAATTCTTATTATAATATATAAGTTTATATATATATTTTCTGTAATAATTTAAAATGTACAATCATAATAATTATTATATTATAATAATACTTTTGCAATAAAATGAAAAGAGTAAATTTTTATTATTGTTGTGCATGTGTTAAAATTATATGTTCATAGTTATTTTGTTTGATGACATGAACCTTTTTTAAAGCTCTTAACTTACGCTATCTTTGAACTGTCATAAGTATTTGGCACTTGTTCAACTACATAACAAAGACATTGAGTCTTGAACAAAACATAAATCAAAGTAAATATTATTTAAAAATCGATTTATTGTGTCTTATGTAATTACAATTAATACATACCTTGTTATTCGAGTCTGGCCTATGTACAAATTGCATTTCGTTGCAGGTCCTTGTACTCGGTCTCCATGAAATGGCTGTTGTGGTATTATGAATTAAATAAGGCGGTAGTTTTTGCTTGATAAACAAATTTAAAAAATAAAATTAATTTCTCAAATTATCAATCCAATTCTTAAACTATGGTGGCAGTAGCTCACCTCAAAAAACGGTCTGCTGAATCGAGGTACATCAGCATACAGCTTGATCTCTTCTAAATGAAACGTCTTACACATTGGCGATGGTTGTCTAAGTATGATTTTAAGCTTTGAAACGTTGTTCCATGCCTATGATATGTATATTAAACACAAATATAAAATAAAGGTGTAACCACCTAACCGCTTTGCTAAAGTTTAGTGTAACTCGTCATTAAATAACTAATGAGTCGTAGATATGTCACATTTGAATTCAATGATAAATCATTTTATACAAAAAAAATGATTTTGAGCAGAAACGTCTAATCGGTTTATTATTATGAAAACATATTGCTACTAATTATCACTAATTTATTCTAATAGGTATAAGTTGTATGGTACAAACTATATAATATATAGGCAACAGCAGAAAATTAATTTAATGTTTTGAAAATATCGTTTAGCGTTCTGTATATAGAATGTGTATAATAATATACGTAAAACTTTCAAATTCCTGTGAATAATATGTCTGAATGTAATAAAATAACTATAAAATCATTCTTCATTTAAAAAATCAAACTTGTATGTTTTGGTTCCAATATGAACTACTTTTGAGGATCTCGTGGTATTATTTCTATCCTTAGATTTAAAAATCAATCATTTGATACATATTAATTAACTAAAAAATATGGGTATATATTATCGATATTTTTTAATTGGTATATAAATAACTTATCAGGAACCTTGCATTAAATTTTCAATAATTTTTGCCGAGAGAATGACTAACATTTGTGGACAAACCACACCCCGCACTACCTATTTTTTTATTTTAAAACCCCCTCAGTTTTTGAGCCTACAAAAAAATATGTTTTTAGGAGTTTCAAAAAAAAATTCAATATATTAAGTTTCTTGACTCGTCGCGACTCAACTGCATATAACTCTATAGCTCTTTTTATCGTACCTCGGTGAAAAACAGCGAGAAATAGTCTTGTGCGCCGTTTTCGCAATGCGGCTGGTTCATTAGAGTTCGGTTCTTGATGCCTACCTCCCAGTTCCTCGATCCCATTGGCGGTCCTTGTAGAGTATTCGATCTTAACAGTAGTACGCTCACGCTGGCCGTGTAATAGTTTCTGAACGTTATTTCACCTACCTACGATCCAAAATATAATATATATTAGGTGTATGTAGATCACAGGTCTTCGGGTTCCCTAAAAAATTAATTGAACTAATTAAACTTTATACGCAGTACTAAGTGAAAGTGGATACACATTATCTACCTCTTTTACAGTGGACACAGGATTGAAGCAAGGGTATATGCAATGTATCCAATCTTAATTAATCTGATACTAGAAAAAGATGTGAGAGAGATGCAGTGCGTAAAAAGCAGTCAATTAACAAAAAACAACACTAACCAGTAACTAGGTACTTAAATTCGCAGACGACCTTGATATGATGTAGAAGTCATTAATAGACATTACAAACGCCGAATAAGTGGATTTAACAATAAATTTAGGCAAAACAAAATGAATGGAATAAGTGGATGCATTCAAATATACCTAGGAACAGCATTGAGTATTAAAAACTATTGATCTGAAGATATAAATATTTGTATAAACAAAGCAAAAAAAACTTTTTTAAGCGAATGAAATTTCTTAACTCCAAAATATTATCGAAAAAATCCAAAACGAGATTATATGTGTCAATTATAAGACCGACGCTGACATACTGAATGTGAAGCCTAAACGACAACAACGGTTACAGATAGGAGACTAAGAACATTCAAAAACAAAATATAGTGAAAAATCTGCGGCCTTGTATTTGAGAAGAATGAATTAAGATACAATTGAGAAATGCAGAAAATGATGAGCTTGACACTTCAGTTAAAGGTAAAAGAATCCATTGGCTAAGCCATATCCTAAGAACAGAATAAAACGACTACTGGAACGCCCCAGAAAGATGTGAAGTGATAGAATCGCAGTGGGTGTAGAAAAATTTGCAAAAAATTTTGCAAGACAGAGAAAAGTGATGAGATATTGTACAGTAACAGCTAAAACTCTTAGTAGTATGGCAAAAAGATTACAAGTGTTGTTAAAATTATGTAGGCATCTAAGTATCTCAGAAATGTAGTGTAAAGAAATATTTTCTTATATTATGTCAACGTAACTACTAACTATCTATTTATGATTTTCACCCTTATATACCCTACATCTTTCTTAACTTTACCACAGACGGTTCCCGGGTTCCCCTTATATTTTAAACTTAAAGAATAAAACATTTTAAAATTAAAATAAAAAATTGTATATTATCATAAAATAGAAAATACCAGAGATAAGTAGAAACTTTTATTAAAAATTAAATAATTTAATTCTACAAAATTTGACATTGAAGCTAACATTGCGGTCTGCTACTCTACTCGTTAAAACCTTGAAATTTAAGTGCTCAAATTTATTACAAAACCATTAAATATTAAAGTATTGATGAACAATTAAAATGAATGTTACCTACTCACCTTTGAGTGTTTTTGCAATTTGAGTTCGATGTATGAACAACCAGTGAGTACTTTCTGTTTTTTGTGTATGTAAATCGGCACGGGACCTTTGACGCTAAAGTCCAACGGCCGAGACATGGACGGGCAGTATGACAGCGAGTACTTCAATTTCGGTCTATGATGGAAGCGAAAATAGAAAAATTAAAACAATATTAAATAATAATACACATACAAATAAATATGCTTAATGTTATATATAGGTAGGTATAAACAGCCGACCAAAGCGAGTAGGAACGTTTGCGGCGAAAAGAAAATTTATAAATTACTTATATGATGACGAATGACGATAAAAATTAAGATTACTAGGTGCAATTTCTAACATGCAGTTATTAGATCGTTGTGTTTACTATAGTACTATGTAATAAAGCCTCGTAATACCTCATTGTATAGCGTTCGTTGTCTTCTTTTTCTTTCGTTATGTCGTCCGCACCACCGCTCATCGTATCCATTGTTAAATCGTATAGGTACAATAATAATATAACGGGTACTATAATAAGATATGACTGTGTGTGTGTGTGTGTGTGTGTGTGTGTGTATAGATATAGGTAATTATGTGTTACCGCCACGAAGTTTTATTTTATACCATTCCGATGTTAGCTAGAAACTAGATTCCTGCATTATCGATATAATATCATACACACACACACACACACACACTGACACCTGCCACATCTTCCAATGCTTGTAAACACAGTATGATATTTGCTATGTTACAAGACAGTTTTATAATTATACGCTGCTACGATAATAATAAAATATCGCACGCATTACCTTGGTAACCACTAACCACGATTTGATGCGCCGTATTGGTATTCGCATAATATTTTCTTCGATATCGTAATGAAATAGGGACGAGCACGGGTGAAATAAATGGTAGTAGGTTTGGCCAGCTTAGCCCTCCCTGCGCTGTCTCGAGCCCCCCTTCAGCCCTTCTTCGGATATTTGAATATATTTTATAATGGTTTTTTTATCGGCTTTCATGCGTGATTATCACTTAGGTGGTATCTTAATTCTTAGGTGTATAGGGCTGTGAGCCAATTAATATCGAAATAATAATATCGTTTTTACGTGGATACCGTTAGGTTATATATTTATGAATGAGGAACTGAAGTATAGTCTATAATTAGTAAAATGAAGTTTAACAGCCATTGTTTTTGTGTAACATTGAGTGTCTAAAAAGTAAAAATATGTATTTGAATTTTAAACTTTTAATACTCGCGAGGTAACGACAATACAGAACGGACAGTATTGTTTTGTGATGTAAATGAAAAAAGAAAAACCAAGTAAGTATATTTTAGCTTGACAATATTGAGAAATCTTATTTTTTTAAATTAAAATTTTTTACGGGCTTTTTTTTGAGTACAGTAAACTCAGCTATGACATCATCAAAATGTATTGTTAAAGCTTACGCATTTTCCATAGATATAAAAGAATGAGTGATTTTAATCGTTCTCGATTCTTTGTTAATCTTTACCACTTCTTCAGTGAAAGATTTTTCTGCTTTTGTTACAGTCAGGCGTCAGCAGTCACTGGAATGGTATAAAATATTCGGAGACTAATATATATACATACATTTATAAAAATTGTCTGCGTATTTTTCAAGTATAAACGAAGTTTAATAGTCGGAGTAGTGGAATTACAATTCTTTTTTGAAATGTTGAAGAATACATAGTTTTCAGATGTAACATTGTAATAGGTATGATATAATTGGCATATTGTGATAAAGAGTTTAATAATGGCTAGAAAATGTTACAAATCGTTTTGACCACTTGAAATCGATAATCTAAATCTGAGAAAATAAAGTTGATTGTATAGTAAATTATGTAATTTCTTAACAGTTAACACCATTTTGAGTTCAGTGATTTAAGGATGGTGAATGAGTTTTTGAAAATTTATCAAAAAGTACTTTTTTTCTTTCTATTAGTCTTGTATTATTTGCATTTCTTAAGCTATTTTCTATAATTTAAATAGAATTTGATGCCAACTATCTCGTATTGATACATGCAAATGAACAGACTGGACGAAGACAAGCAAAGAAACAATCAAGACTCCAGAGATTTACAACCATTTTTTTAATCCATTACGCGTTTTGACATCGAACCGGGCGATACTAGCAACCAAATGGTTGTAAACTTTTAAACGATTTTTATTTCTATTTCGGTTGCGTGAATATGAAAATGTTGTTTTGACAAATATTTCACGTTCGAATATACAGACGGACGGCGTTCGCAAATTATCGGCCCATTTCCAGACAGACAGTGAAATAACAGACAGGTTTAGACGTTGGTGACCGTGCAGTGACCGAAAGGCATTTACGAATTTTATTAGGAATAGCCGTACGGGACGGCAACGCGGTCATGATGACAATCATTACAAGAGTGTAAGACCCATAGACTAAAGACTAAAGATGGGTAGGTACTGAGTCAGGAATTTGAATGAGGATGCTTAAAGGTTAAAGTAATTTAGAAACATTAAATAATATGGCTACCTACACTTAATAGTTGATACAAAGATACAATGATTTCCTTAAACGCTGCTCCGTACTCGTAAGTCGTAGTATGACATTATAACATGAGTCATATCATGTGTGATATTATAATTTATAATTATTCTTGTTTTATCAGTGTTATCGTTTTTTTTTTATGCAAATTTATCTCTATTTATAGAAAAATAGAACTATTTAATATTTAATACACTCACGTTTTAAATTTCGTAAACAAGCATTGACTATAAAATATAAACATGGAAAAAATGTAATCTATTCTATGCCTGTGTGGTATAATTGTATAAATAATCATTGATATAAACTATAAACAGCAAAAAGTGTTTTATTGTGTTAAATTATACATTTTATCTTGAGATTATATTTTTATTTATTTATTTTTTTTTTTTTTTGTGATCACCCGGTAAACAACACGTTAGGTAAACACTGAGTCACTGACAACGAACGAATAATTATTATATGTGAGGTAAATAAAGAATTTTTTTCTGGAAATCAGAACATTGTCTTAAAAATATAAAAAAAACACCTATAGAAATAATAGAAATTCAATTACTGTAGAATAAAATACGAGCTTTTAACAGTTTAGTTATAATTTATAAAATATCTAAGACTACTTATCGTTAGAGTTGAGCTTGAGGATTTCTAGTTTTTATATATTTGTCACTTTGTCCAAAAATTGGCCATAAAACAATTATTTAAGTATACGTATTGTACAATTATATATTATTTTATAACCTTAAGAAACTGTTTTTAAATTTTGTAATTTTTGCATATTTTTTCATTATTGTACAATGTACATGAATGCATATTTGAGTGCCCAGAGTATCTCATGAGTCATGACCAGGGCTCGAGACTTCTAGCATTTGCATATTTATTTATAGTACATTAAAATATAGCAGAGTAAGCTACAAATTCGTTTCATACTAAAATGAACGCAGCTTTAAAAGTTTTTAGTGCATATTTTTGCATATTTAAGTGTTTTTGCATTATTTTTGCTATTTTTATAAGTATCATGCTATTTTTTGCCTATAATTTGTTAATCTGAAAAAAATTAAGTTGTTTTGATGTTTGTACCTAGTCAACGGTAAGTGTCGCTTTATTAAATTCCTATTTTACAAAAGTAAATGTAAAAATGTATAAAGCCGCGTTTACATTAGGACTATTTAGTGTGGACGCCAATTCGGTCTGAAAACTATTTTGTTCGTTTGTTCGCTTTTATAATGTAAACGCGGCTTTACACAGCAAATAGGTTCACCTAATGTAAGTTTATCGGCACCACGCGTCCACGCTGCCTATAACCTATTATAGATAAAATATAAAAATATTCCAGTAATATAGGAGATATAATGTTTATTGACAATAAACATTATACGATATGATACGAAATACAATAAATTATTGTATTTCGTATCTTAATTGTTTCTTAAAGACGTAGTGTATTCTGTAAAGTCCTTATTAGTTATCGTACATTTAGTATTTAGTAAGGATCAATGCAGCGAATTATTACTGTGATAATTTGAGCACAATTCGTTCTATTTTTGAATTACTCGACAATGACGATGCAGTCAGCATCAAAGTAGCAAAAAAATATATCAATAAAAAACGGAATAGACGCAGATCTTATTTTCATAAAATCAAATTTTTTATCTCTTACTACATCTTTAAAAAAATTACAAACACAAGGGTTGTTATTGTATGACTATATTGAAATTATTAACGATGTGGAAAAATCATTTGAAACTCTACGAGGTCCAATAGGATTGAAAATATAGTCAAAATTAAAATGTGTTTTAGAAAAAAATAATGGTCTATTACTTTTGAAAAAAATGTCCAGCATTTTATTGGGTATAAGAGACATCGGAGAATTAGATGGGTTACCAGATGATATTTCTAGTAGTGATGTTCCATACTTAAAGTTCGCCACTATCACATCGGTCGACGTAGAACGTACATTTTCAACGTACAAAACATTTCTGACCAATAATAGGAGATCGTTCAAATTTGAAAATATTCACAAACATATAATTATACAATGCAATTTTCAAGGTATAAACTAAAATTTATAATTTATAATATTTACTTACTTACTGATTTATTAAATTTATCTAATTATTATGTTTACAGAATAAAGAAATTATACATGTACAACAATGGTCGATAAAAAGAACAATCGATTTTTTTTAGAATTATAGATTATAAATAAATATTTTTAGAATTAGAATTAAACAAAATAATTTTTTTATTGAGCATATTATAGTGCATATTTTACCATTTTTTAAGTCATATTATAGCGCATATTTCATAGTTTTTTAGTGCTAGAAGTCTCGAGCCCTGGTCATGACTAATGAGTATTTTGAAAAATTATAAAACATATTTGTGTGGCGCACTAGGAAATAGGTATTTGAATTACGTCTTATTTGTATTACACAATATAAATAAAAACGACAAAGGAGGAAAAAATCCATTTTTCAAGTTTTTATACAATCAACTTTTACAAAACATTTTTTTTTTTTTTAATTGTCTTATTTCATAATAATAGATACCTAATATCATTGATTTAGTTATGATATTATTTTAGTATTTCTATTTAAAACAATGAATATCAAATACATTTTTTTTAGACCGTATTTTTAAGTGATGTATGCCTATTTCTCTTATTTTTAAATTTATAAGTTTGTAAAACAAATTTGAATAAGTGTAAATAATATAAATTGACTATTGATAACTTTCATTTGTAATTTAAAATTTGTAGTATTTTTTTGGAATAGATATTAAACAAACTCGTTTACAGTGTTTACACAAAATTAGTACCTAATTATAGTAATAGTAGTAATACCTACTATATAATATATAATATTTTAGTCAAACACAAAATTCGATGGTATTCATGATTCATTCACTTACATATTTTATTATTTGAGTTATTTTCTTATCGAAGTCATCCTACAGTATAAAATGCTCGTAATTACAAGTCTGTACATTTTAATAGAATTTAAACAATTATTTAACTAATGTGAAGTATTTTATTTTTGACAAAAATATATAAGTATACTATATAAGTAAGGTAGAATGTTCACAGGGCGGCCAAATTCCTGGCACCGGCACTGGGCGCCTAGCCGATATTATGAAAGACATGAAAATCATCAAGTTTTTATAACTCCGTGTTGGACTCAAACGTCCGCAACCTTAATTTGATTTCAAAAGAAAGTAAAACACATTTT